GCCCTCAGGGGTCCCCGCTTGCAGCGAGGCGCACAGCGCCCGCCCCACGGTCCCGCAGTGGCTTCCCCGGGCCCAGGCCGCCGCCCCGAGGGCCCACGTCAAACCTCCTGAAGCCACCCAAGCGGAGTCTTTCACACCCTCCACCCGGCCACCCCTCTGGGCCCCGCAGGAGAACCCACACTCGGTCGGGTTCCGGAGGGCGTCTCTGGCCCTGCAGGCAAACCGTGGGCTTTTACTTTATGTTTTCGGGGTGGGGTGGGGGGCGGGGGGTGACAGGGGGAATTGTCCCGAGCTGCTCTCCGCAGGGCGCCGGGTTTCCCGAGTCCCCAGCAGACGGATGGCCCGGCGGTCCTCTTCGCCGCGAACCCGCCGGGAAGCCGGACGCCTACCGCGAGGCCGGGTGGACGGTGCCTTTGAATCGCTGGCGCTGCGGGGGCCGAGTGGGAGCAGAGAGGGGAAGGGGCCTCGGGACCGCTCTGTTCTGCAGATGGAGAGCGGGGTTTAGACAAAATCCAGCCACCTCTCCGCTTACTTCCCGCGACACGGATTGGCGCCTCGAGGCACCGAGGGCTTCTCTCCCACGCGCCAAGCCGTCGGGAGGTGCCGCCGCCGGGCCCTGGCTCCCACTACCGCGTCGCCGGTGCGGGTCACCTGGGATTCGGGTCTTCTCGATGCGGGTCCGGGCAGTGGGTGGGGCCTTTGGTTCCCTGCAGAGCTGGGCCGGAGGCAGCGCCTGGGGCCTCTGCAGGAGGGATGGGGGGTGTTGGGTGTGGGGGGTAGGGGTCCCGAATCCGGACTCACCGGCCCTTGCCACCCAGCCGGGTGGGGTCATCGGACCACACCGGGTCCGGTGTGCAGGAGGATTGCGGCCTCCCTCCCTCCCTTCCTCAGGAGGCTTGCGGGCCACGGAGAGTCCCAGACGGCAGCCACGGCCCAAAAAGGGCCATCTCGGGGTTGGCTCTGTGTCCCCAGCCACACTGGGCTCTGAGGCCTCCTCCTTTCTGCGAAGGCCGCTGACACCTGTGAAACCCACGTGAACACCTGCGGCGCCCGGTCAAAGGCCGGGAAGGAAAGTCTTTCTAAAAGTAAAAATAGCCCAAGCCACCACTTCTTTTAGGACGAGGAGGTTGGGGGCAGCCAGAGAGCAAAATGCTGCTCTTACAGCGTGCCTCGTTGGCACTTGAGAAGTCCGCGGCCACATTTCCCCGGGCACCACAGCGTACGCTGAACTGTGGCCAAATCCCAAATGCAAATTTGAAGTTGGGGTTCGGAGATCCCTCCCGCTTTCCCTCTTGTAGGGGACAACAGTGGCATATTTTGTTATTGAGCTGTCACATATCCGGTGTGTACACTAGTTTAACCTTCTTAACCTTCTGTCAAGGAGATAGTAATATCCCAATGTTATAAACGAAAGAATTGGAGGCTCAGAGAGGTTCAGTAACTTGCCCAAGTCACACAGTCGGTAAGTGCAGAATTTGAACTCAGTTGCACCCGACTTCCTTACTGACTGGTCATGCTCTTCTTTACCAACTCCACAGGGCTCTGTCCCTTTTTAAGTTCCAAAGCTAACACTGCTTTGAGTTTTTCAAATGTCCAGATGATCAGGGTGTTTATCAAAGAGACACAGCAATGACCTTAAATGTTAATGCCAGGAATCCTGATTATTTGGCCTCAATTTTCATGAATTTTATCAAACAACATGAAATAGAAATGGAAACATAGAATTCTTGTTTCTGATAACGATATTTATTTCTAGCCCTGAGCATTTCTTAGGACATTAAGCTGATGTGGGGTGAGTAATATTAAGTTCTATGGGTCTCATACTTACTGAATGAGTGTCTGAGAGCAGTGTCCAGGAATTTGTATTTCTAGCTGGCTTCCCAGGGGGTCTTTCCACAAGTTAAATTTGGAGAACTGTACCTTTTAACGTTGGGTGACTCAGACAAGCTTCCTGAGAGCAGGCACTCCCCCTTACTGGAAATTCAAATGTTTATTGGGGAAGGGTAGAAAATGGGATATTCTGGGAAAAAGTCTGACTTAATTAAGCAGACATTCACCAAGAGCCTGGAGGTGTCAGGACCTGGGGTAGGACGCAGAGTGGCCCCTAAAGTATATAGGCCTCACCTCTGTATCTTCAAGGACAAACCCATTTACTAAGGGAACCCACTGGCCCTAGTAATGGCTCCAGGTTGGCAGCACAAGCAGTGCTCTTGACCAATGCCCTTCTATGTTTCAAGCCTCTGAAGTAACCAAATTAAGTAAGAAAGTCGACCCATAACCTGGTTTTGATTTTTGTTATGTGTAGTACCTTTTTCTTTCTTTC